CAGGCCTTCTCCCTCATAGAATTCTCACCTCTGCAGCAACTCTAAAGCTTCCAGAATCAAAGCCAAGGGGTCAGGGGAGATCCTCAGGTGCTGGCTGCCACCTGGGGCTGGGCAGAGCAGGGCTGGGCAATGGCCATCCCTGTGCAGTGGGGCTGGGCCATGGCTGGGCCCCGGCTGGGCCCCAGTATTAAATGGACACCCCAACAACATCAGCCACTCCACAATACACATCACTGTCCAACACTAACAACATCACAATATTTAATCAACAATATCACCAATAATGTAATATCAATTCATATAATATCCAGCAAAAGTCAACTTCCATTAACTTGTTTCTCACAGTACATACCAGTAAAGAACTCTTATTCCTGTTCCCACATATTTGCCTAAAAGCCATGTAATTTCAATGTTACAATAATTCAGAGTGATGGGGGTTGTATTTTCCATTCCAATGGAGGTTCCCACCTTGTTCAGCTTCCTTGACAGAGCAGAACAAAGAAACACCATTTCTGCCCGTTTAACCAAAGAGTTGCATTTTTATCCCAGGAGCAGGGAACCAGGTCCTGCACCCCTTTGGAACTGGGACGGGCACCAGTAAGCCACCTTAGTGGGAGCACTGGGAGGGGGATTGCAGAGCCACTAAGCACACTGGGGTTAAGAGGAACAAATCTCAATTTGATTTATGTCTTAACATATGCTACACATGACTGAATAATTACTCTGTGGTTGTCCATGTGCTGGGAACCCTGTCCCTGGCGAGGCTTCACACAACAGAGAATCAGGGGAGAGAAAGCTTCAGTGATCGGGCTGTCAGTGACCCTCACTGGCTGATGGGACAGATGCCTGGGAAAAATGTCTGTGAAAAAATTCCCAGGAAATCGGGCTGTGGGAGGAGCCTTTGCAAATCAAAGCAGCAAAGTGTGACACAACAGGAGTGTTTTGCTTTGGGTTTCTTGGAGGGATCAGGGGCTTGCTCAGAGGGTCAGCTTGGCCCTCCTCCCCTGTGGGATTGACATTCTCTGAACCTGGGAGAAGCAGTGAGAGAAGCAAAAAATGATCCAAAGAGTTCTTATCACATTTACTGCTCCTGTGTTTTTCACAAGTGGAATGCATTGTGGAAGATTGTTTACCTGAAGGGAATTGGTAACTGGATTCTGGTGTGAGGGTTTTGATTCACTGACCAATTGAATCCAGGTGTGTGTGTGTGGGGACTGTTGGCTGACAGTCATGAGATTGTGTGCAGTGGAGTGCAGTTGAGTGCTTGGCAGATTCAGTTTAGATGTAATGTAATATGATATAGAATAATATAGCATAATAAAGTAAACAATTAGCCTTCTGAAAAGATGGAGTCAGGTGCATCATTCCTCCCAGTCATCAGACAAAAATATCACCCATACTCCCCCCCCTCACCTTTTCCTCCTGGTGGTCCTTCTTCCCTGTCCGCACCCGTTCTTCCCTGCTTCGCTGCTTCCCCGAGGCAGCTCATTCCTGCTCCTCCTGGACGTTCCTTCATTGCTTCCCCGATGGAGTGGATGCTGCCTGCAACCACCCGCCGCCTCTGCCGCGTTTCCCATGCTGCCCACAGCCCCGAGCCTGCTGCACCTGCCCACGGCAGCCCCAGCCCGCGGCAGCCAGCCCAGAGCCACCAGTGCCCAGCACCAGCCCGCAGCCAGCCCGCAGCAGCCCCTGCAGCCATCGCTCGCAATGCCAGAGACACGCAGGGGCCGTCCTTGGAAATCACGCCCAGCCACTCACAAAAGCCATGTGGGCTGCCCTGGCTTGCAGCACACACACTCCATCTGCCGAGCTGATGCCCACAGAGCGCCCGGGCTTCTTGCGGTAACGCTGTCCCTGTCTTCTGTTTCTCTCTCTGTCCTTTTCCCTTTCTACTGCCTTCTCTTCCCCTTTGGTAAGAACCCTTACCCTCCTTTATCAATAAACAGTTCTCAGATATAATATTGCCGTGTTTGTGCTTCATTTTCATCTGAGAAACCTTTCAGCAAGAATCCTCCCTGACTCCCCCTTTTACAGTGGGATGGGACAGGGATAGTGGGAGGGGGAATGGGGAAGCCCTGGGTGTACTGCAAGCACTGTGGGGAGAGAATGGGGCAGTCCCTGAGGGTACTTGGGCACTTGGATGGGGCTGGGGAGCCCCTGCAGGTACGAGCAAAGGGATGGGGGAGCCCTTGGGGTAGTGGGAGAGGAAATGGGGAGCACAGGGTGCCCTATGTAGCCTCCCCCTGACCCATAACCACCTCCCTTGGAAGGATGGGCAGCCACAGGAGCCATGGAGGGAGCACCCCCAGTGTCACCCAGTGCCTCCCGCTTCCCAGAGCATCACAACTTTTGGTGTAGATTGTCATAGATGTCACTGGGCTCCCACGGTTGCCTTTGCAGCTCCATGTACATCGCCTGAGGATCCTCCAGTGGGGGTGCCAGGGGGTCTTGGGGGGCCGTGTGGGAATAAGGGGGTGTGTGGAAGGGGATGGGAGGTGCTGGGGGTTTGGGTAAAAGGTGTATCATGGCTGGAGCCTGCACCCAACTTTCCTGGTGCTTCCTGGCAGCTGCAGAGGAAAGAGGGGAGGGGTGACTGTGGGGTCCCCAGGGCCCTGACTGCTCTCAGGATTCCTGAACTCCCATGGGACCCTCAATCTTCAACAGGACCCCCATGCATCCCTGGAGCCCCCCAGAATTCATGAACATCCTCAGTGCCCCGAATCAACTCAGCCTTAATTACCAAAAGCCCAGGAGGGACAGAGACCCCCCGAACACCCCCAGGGCCCTGAAAGAACCCCCAGCATCCCTGAACAACCCTCCTGCACCTTCCCAAGCTCTACAGCACTCCCAGACAATGTCACAACTCTTGGATTGTGAATGTCACAATCTCGTTCCCCAATTATGGGGGCCTCTACCGTCCCCTGGGACCCCTGTCCCCCCATTGTCACCCACCCACATGGTGCCACCACTGCCAGGCCACAATGACACCCACGAGCAGGAGCAGGAACAAAAGGGCCCCACAGACCCCTGTGGCCACTGCAAGAAACAGAGCGGGACACATCAGGGTCACCCATGACCCCAGGGGTCCTGCACTTCCTGGTTACCCTCTGGGACCCCACCTGTGTCCCTGTGTGTCCCTGTGTCCTGCGGTGTCACGTTCGGGGAACCGGGGGTGATGGTGGCATCGGCCATGGGCACTGCGGGGACAGAGACAGGGCTGAGGGCACAGGGAGGGGCTGGCAGCCGGTGTGGAGGGACAGGGATGGGGGATGGGTGTGATGGGGGATGTCAGGAATGGGGTCATAACACAGAAGGGTGTGGGCACAAGGGAAGTAATAGAAGGAGCAAGGAAATTTTTGTTTGGGACTTGGAGATGGCCAATCAGGGGACCTGAGGTGTCTGTGGGGGCTCCCTGTGCCCATCCCGCACTCCCTGTGCACCATGACATGGAGCCAGGTGCTGCTTTTCCCCACGGCCCCCCGCCTCAGGATGCAGCTGACAGCTGTAATTCCCTGAGTGTGAGACCCCCAGGGCGGGCACCAGCAGCTGTGGGGACCCCTGCGGGTCTCCCACCATCTTCCCATCCTGGTAGAACACGTGCAGGAGGGGGGCTCGGGGCCGCAGGGGGCTGGGGGTGCTGAGGCAGCTGAGAGTCAGGGGGGACCCCAGGGTGGGCCGGGGGGACGCTCCAGCACCGGCACTGAGAAGAGCTCTGGGAAGGAGAGGGGAGAGGGAATTTTGGCCCCGAGTCCCTGGGGAGGGGCTGTGGGGGTGTCGGGGTGGGGACTTTATGGTGCTCACCGTGCACTGTCACTATCACTGGTGGTGACTCCCTCCACCCCGAGGATCCCACCTTGCCCCTGCAGCTGTAGTGGCCACTGTGGCTCAGCTGCAGAGGGGACAGGGACAGCTCAGTGACATCGGGGAACACCCCCAGTTCCTTTCCCTCGTGGTAGAAGGACACCGAGGTGACCGTGCTCTTCCAATAACCCCGGCAGCGCAGTGTCACCGTGTCCCCCTCCAGCAGCACCCGTGCCGGCACCTGCAGCACCAGCCAGTCTGGGGGACAGAGGGGATTCATCACATCACAGGGATGTCAAGGGTCCCGCTGACATCGGGACCCTCACTGAGTCACACCCAGTGCACCAGAGGTCATCAATTCCACAAACAGGGTCCTCTCGCTCGGGGATGCTCTGGGATGTCCCCAGAAGAGGGGATGGGCTCTGGTCACACAGGAGGTGACCCATGGAGCGGAGCCCACCCAGAGCCCTTGGGGTCCCCATGGGTGCCAGGCGGTGGACGGCCAAACCCCCCTCACCTTCTGAGACAATCACAGGGGGGCTGAGCCCAGTGCCAGGTCTGTCACATGTGTAGGTGCCACTCTTGGTGACAGTGAGGTGTTCAGGTCCCTCCTGCTCCCAGCGCTGCCCGTCCTTGTACCAGGTGGTGGCACCGGCGGTCCCCGAGCCCTGGCAGGTCAGTGTCACCCAGTCCCACAGCACCGCTGGCCTCCAGGGGGGCTCCACCAGGAGCTGGGTGGTCTGGGCACCTGTGGGTGACAGGGGACACCAGCCTGCCAGGGCCAGCGAGGGGCTGGGGACAGCGGGGTGGGGCCATGGCATCCCCCGAGGACTCACCAGCAAGGCCGAGGGTCTGGGCTGGAAGGGAGAAGGAACAGGCCTGGGTGGGGGTGGCACTGTGCGGTCAGAGGCACAGGGGCAGGGGGCTGTCGCTGAAAAATGTCTCAGTGGTTGCATTGGTGTGACACAGAGGTCTAAAGGACAGGGACCCCGCAGCCCCCCTGTGCCCCCTCCCCTCCCCATCCCCGGGGTGTCAGGCCTGTGCCCGGGGCACTCACCCCACAGGAGCAGCGCCACCTTCCCGGCCATCCCGGTGTCCCCAGCCATGTGCACTGGCTGTCACTCGCTGCTGTGGCCACCGCTCCCCTGGCTGGCGGCTCTTCGGATGAAGGGGAAGGAAGCGAGGTCACGTCCGTCCCCATGCGTAGGTGGCCTTTGGTGGGGGCAGGGTGGCCACAAGCTGGGGACGGGCTGTGGCAGGGTGGGGACAGCCTGGGGACATGGTGGGGGATGCTGTTGCCAGGAGTGGGGGGCTCAGGGGATGTGGGGAACCAAGGATGGGTGTCCAGGAGAATGGGAGTCCACTGGAATTGGGGTTTCCATGCCTGGGGGGATTCAGGGATGGGGGTGCTGTGGGAACATGGTCCCCAGGGATTTGGGGTCATGGTGTGTGGGTGCCAGGGCTGGGGGTGCAGGGGGAAAAAGGGGACCCTCGGGAATAGGGGCTCTGGGGAAGAAGCAGCCCATGGGATGGGATCACGGCAATGGTGGGACTGGGCAATATCAGTCCTGGGATGGGGGTCCCCAGGGAGGAGAGACCAAGGCAATGGGGGTCCCATGGTTGGGTTCCCAGGGGAATGGGGGTGCCAGGGATGGGCAGTGGCTGGGTGGGCACAGAGGTCACAGCTCCTTCCTGGGGTGCCTCAGATTTTGGGGTGACTCAGAGCCCAGCACAGTCCCCACCCTTGGGCACCCCATGGCTCTCCTGGGACGTTCTGTGTCTCTGCCCCACACACCCTAGGCCGTTTTCCTGTCTCCCCGCATTTCCTGGCTGAACCATCCCAGGGAAGAGCTGGGAGAATCCCAGGATGGGAAAAAAGGGGTTGGGGGGTGCAGGCAGTGGTTTCAGGGCTGTGGGGGATGGGGCTCCCTGTCTGTGACCCCCCAACTCTTTCTCTTTCCTGCAGCGGTTTGTGCTGAGGCAAGGACATGAATTCTGTCCAGGGGGCACGTCCAGAGGGGTCCAGCCTTTAGGGAAAAGGGCAGCTCTGCTGTGCTGACACCCGGGTCTTGTCCCAGCCTCTTGTCCCTGGGAGCTCCTCCTCGTTCTGGGGGTGCCACATCCTTGGGGATTCCTTTCCCAGAGGTGGCACATCCTGGGGTCCTCTGTCCTGGCTGGGCCTTGAGCATTCCTGCTGTCCCCAGTGGGGCCCTGTGACCTCTGGGGTGCCCAAACTTAAGGAGGCATCTTTTATGACCTTGCCCTGATGATGGTAAATCCCAGGATCAAGCTGGTTGAATTCCCTGATGCCCAATTGCTATGGACAGTTTTGGGGTCATATTTTGGTCTCAGATTTTGAGATGACTCAGAGCCCAGCACAGACCCCACCCTGGGGCACCCCAGGCTTGTCCTGGGAGGCTCTGGGTCTCTGCCCCACAAATCCCTTGGCTTTTTCCTGTCACCCAAATTTCCTGTCTTAGCAATCTCAGGCAACACTTGATTCCCAATTGATTGTGACAAAATTATACATCCATAGAAAAAAGGCATAAATCTTTTCCTATATCATTATTTTCTCAACAAAAAACAAACTCCTGAAAAATCAAAGTGAAGAGGTATAAAATGCTCTGCTTTATAGAATCCTTTTAATCATTGCTTTCCCAACAAGAGGAAATAAAAACACAATAAAAACACAAATACGGGGATATAAAAACCACAATAAAACCACAAACAAATCACAGTGAAATGAGACTTTTTGGTTCCCTTTAGCAGCCCCCTGCTGCATCCCACAGCAGCGTTTGCTTGTGGATAACACAGAGGGTGGAATCTCCCTGAGTGTCCAACAGCTCCATGGGATTGTTCCCTGCCTGCTGGGCAGCAACCCAGCCCTAAGGAAGCCTTTTCTTGGGCCATATTTAGGAACTCTTCCCATTTTGCTCGTTCCCACCCTGAAACTTGATTGACTTCCCATGGAGGAAGGGGAGAAGCTCTGTCCATGCTTGGGACAGTACACAGGAATCTGTGGAAATGCCCCTGTGTGCCTCAGGGTCTGATTCCCTGGTAAATCCACTCCAGCCTGCCCTGAATTCCCCTGTCTGGGCACTCCCTGCTCCTGTTGTGACACCCCTGTTCCCCAGCCCCTCGTGTGCAGCCCCTGCTCAATATTTCCACACTTTTCCCTCTCTTCTGGTGTGCACATCCAGAACACAAACATTCTTTCCATGAGGTTCCAAAGGGCTGCAGGTTTTGTTCTAGAATGAGGGTCCAGGTCAGCTTGTTGAGAAAATCAGTGTTGGATTTGCAGCAGTACTGGGGCTCTCTCAGTCCCTCGTTGAGAGTGACAAAATGATCAATTGCTGCATTTCCGGACTGGTTCCCCCACAGCTGAACCTGCAGGGGCAGTTTCCAGCCAGCCCTGCTCTGAAAACCATCAAAGGCCCTCTCAGAGCCACTGCTTGGCCTCCCTTTGGGTTTGTGCTTCTTGCAGGGCTGAGCAAACCACAGGTAGGGCCTTTTTCCACCCACAGAATTCTCACCTCTGCAGCAGCTCTAAAGCTGCCAGAATCAAAGCCAAGGGGGCGGGGGGGACCCTCAGGTGCTGGCTGCCACCTGGGGCTGGGCAGAGCAGGGCTGGGCAATGGCCATCCCTGTGCAGTGGGGCTGGGCCATGGTTGGGCCCCCCCCTTGGATTGACAGGGGTCCCCAGGATGTGCCACCCCTGGGACAGGCACCCGGCCAGGAATGTGCAGGGACATTTCCAGAACTGCCACACCAGGGACAGGAGCCCCCATGCCAGGATGTGTCACCCCCTGGGACAGGATCCCCCTGGACAGGAGCCTCTGGATGTGCCACCCCAGGACAGAACCCCCCCTTTCCCATCTGACTCTCAGCACAAACGGCCTCTTCCTTCTTGTCCAGGAAAAGGAAATTGAAAGTGTTGAGGGGGCACAGCCCAACACCTCCATCCCCCACAGCCTCCCCACCATTCCCTGCACCTCCTTCTCCCCATTTTCCCCTCCCCTGGGTCCCCCCAACCCATTCACTGCTCAGGTGCTCCCCGGGATTGCTGAGCCAGGAACCAGGGGTGAGGGGACATGGCAAAAAGTATGGAGAATAAGGAAAAAAGAGAAATAAAGAGAGGAAAAAGTCAGGGGCAGGGGAGGACACAGAGGCTGAGCTACCCAGGACCCCCATGCAATGCCTGGCCAGGAAATGAGCACCCCAGGGGTGATTTTGCAGGGCCCTGGGTCACCCCAAAATCTGAGGCATCCAGGAAAGGTGCTGTGACCCCCAGGACCCCCCCAGCCACCGCCCATCCCTGGCATCCCCATTCCCCTGGGACCCCAACCTTGAGACCCAATTTCCTTCTGTCTTTCCTTCCCTGAGACCCCCATCCCTGGACTGCATTTCCCCAGGATCTCCAACCCCAAGGAACCCCATCCCAGTAATTCCAGTCCCTGGGACACCCCTTTCCTTGGGGACCTTGATTTCCCCAGGGCCCCCATTCTCACGCGGACCCCCTTGCCCCTGGCATTCCCATGCCATGGCCCCCATCCCATGATCACAAATCCCAGGAGGCCACGTTGTTCTGGGACCCTCATTCCCAAGTCTGAGTCCACCCAACCTTTGGGACCCCCATTCCCCTGGGACCCCATCCCTGGGCACCCCATTCCCCTGAACACCCATCCCTGGCTCCCAACACAGCCTTAGACTGAGATTCTGGCAACACCATGTCCCCACCATGTCCCACCCTGCCTCCCATGTCCCACAGCGTCCCCACCCTGCCCCCACCAAGGGCCACCTACACATGGGGACGGACGTGACCTCGCTTCCTTCCCCTTCATCCCAAGAGCAGCCAGCCAGGGGAGCGGTGGCCACAGCAGCGAGTGACAGCCAGTGCACATGGCTGGGGACACCGGGATGGCCGGGAAGGTGGCGCTGCTCCTGTGGGGTGAGTGCTCCAGGCACGGGCCTGACACCCCGGGGATAGGGAGGGGAGGGGGCACAGGGGGGCTGCGGGGTCCCCTGAGGTCCCCAATGCCAGCAGAGCCAGAGCAGGGCATGGAGCCCAGTGTGACCAGAGTTGTGGGGTGGCTTTAGGGACAGGAACAGGGGAACTGGATGTGGGGACAGGAACAGGGGGATAGAGATGTGGGAACAAGGATGTGGCAGAAGGAGCCTTGGGGCGTGGGTAGCTGTGGGGACAGGGACAGGGGAACAGGGTTTCAGGGACAGGGACAAGGGCCATGATGTATGGGGATGGGCCGGGAGAACAGGTGCCATTGGAATGGGATGATGGGCACAGGGCCATGGATTATGGCTGTGGGGACAGGTGCTGTAGGGCTGCTGGAGGTGACGTGTGCAAACATGGGGTGTCCACAGTGTCCCCATGACCCCCACCCAGCCCTGTCCCTTCTCCCTTCCAGCCCAGACCCTCGGCCTCGCTGGTGAGTCCTCAGGGGATGCCATGGCCCCACCCCACTGTCCCCAGCCCCACGCTAGCCCTGCCAGGCTGGTGTCCCCTGTCACCACAGGTGCCCAGACCACCCAGCTCCTGGTGGAGCCCCCCTGGAGGCCGGCGGTGCTGTGGGACCGGGTGACACTGACCTGCCAGGGCTCGGGGACCACCGGTGCCACCACCTGGTACAAGGACGGGCAGCGCTGGGGGCAGCAGGGACCTGAACACCTCACTGTCACCGAGAGTGGCACCTACACATGTGACAGACCTGGCATCAGCCTCAGTCCCCCTGTGACTGTCTCAGACAGTGAGGGGGGTTTGGCTGTCCCCAGCCTGGCACCCAGCGGACCCCGAGGGCTCTCAGTGGGCTCCACTCCATAGTTCACCTCCTGGTGTAACCAGAGCCTGTGCCCTGCTATGGGGACATCCCAGAGTATCCTAGTGTCAGGGAAACCTTTGGGAATTGGGGACCCCTGGTGCACTGGGTGTAACCCAGGATAGGGTCCTGGTGCCATCAGGTGTGACAGGACCCCTCTGTCCCCCAGGCCCGCTGGTGCTGCAGGTGCCGGCACAGGCGCTGCTGGAGGGGACACGGTGACACTGCACTGCCAGGGCTGGTGGAACTGCACGGTCACCTCGGTGTCCTTCTACCATGAGGAGAAGCGTCCAGGGGGGCTCCGTGATGGCACCAAGCTGTCCCTGTCCCCTCTGCAGCTGCACCTCAGCAGTCACTACAGCTGCAGGGTCTGGTGAAATCCTGGTGGTCAGGGAGATCATGAAATTCGGCACCGGTGACAGTGACAGGGCACGGTGAGCACCCCACAGCTGCCACCCTGACACCCCCACAGCCCCTCCCCAGGGATTCAGGCTCACAAATCCCCCTCCCCTCTCCTTCCCAGAGCTCTTCTTGTTGCCGGTGCTGGAGGGTCCCCCCAAGCACTCTGAGGGGTCCCCCCTGACTCTCAGCTGCCTCAGCACCCCCAGCCCCCTGAGGCACCGAGCCCCCCTCCTGCACGTGTTCTACCGGGACGGGCAGGTGGTGGGGGGCCAGCAGGGGTCCCTGCAGCTGCTGGTGCCCGCCGTGAGGGTCTCCCACTCGGGGAATTACAGCTGCCAGCTGCACTCCGAGGGGGGTGCTGTGCAAAAGAGCAGCGCCCGGCTCTGTGTCATGGTGCGCAGTGAGTGTGGGGATGGGCACGGGGAGCCCCCACAGCCTCCTCAGCTCTCCCAGGCCTTCAGGGGATGCCCAGTCCTTCCAGACACCTGCCCTGTCACCCCAACCTTTCCCGGATCCTACCCTTGCTCCCATGCTCCCTTCTCATGTCCCTCTCAGGGTCCCCCACCCCTAGAGGGCTGCCCCCATCCTACCCCTACACATTTTCCATGTCCTGCCATCCCTGCCCCGGGTCTGTCCCCACGCCACCCCATGCCTGGCTTGTGTCTCCCCATCCCTCTCTGAGCCCCCTCACACCTCCTAGCATCCCACCCATCTCACTCTGAGGTCACCACACATTCCCCAGGTCACATCATTCCCTCCCTGAGTCCCCATACCCACCCTGGTGTCATCCCCCCACCCCTCCAGGTGTCCCTTAGGGTTCTTTTCCAAACCCCACCAATCTCTGCGCCCCCTCTCCCTCACTGGCGTCTCCCTGCCCTTCCCCTACCACCCCCCTGGGTCCCTCACTGTCACTTGCTGTCCTCCCCTCACGCAGGGGTCCTGCTTCCGGGGTGTCCCTGTCAGCACAGCCCCCCGGGGGACAGATGGCACTCAGGGACAGCCTGGTTCTGAGCTGCATGGTGGCCGTGGGGACAGGTCCCCTGTCCTGTTCCTGGCACCAGGAGGGCTCGGGGGCACCACCGGGCACCGGCTGCTGCCTGGAGCTGAGCCACATTGGGGACAGTGACAGCGGCCAGTACCGGTGCCGGGTCAGTGACGGGGACAGCGTGGCCGAGAGTGACCCCATGAATGTCACTGTCCTGGATGAGCGGGACCCTCGGGCTGGGAGTGACCCCACCTATGGCACTCGCATCCCACTTCACCAGGTGCCAGCCCTATCTTTGTCCCCACAGTGCCCGTGGCCAATGCCACCATCACCCCTGGTCCCCTGTCACACCAGGTGCGTGCAGGTGACCCTGTGACCCTGCACTGCTCAGTGCAGGTGGGATCAGCTCCTGTCACCTTCACCTGGCTGCAGAACAGGCTGGAGGTGCCCCAGGGTCCCCTCCTGGAGCTTGGAGACATCAATGTGGGACATTCAGGCACCTACAAGTGCGTGGCCACCAACCAGCTGGGACAGGACGGGCACCATGTGTTCCAGGCACTCAGCCCTGAGCTGGCCCTGGAGGTGACACCACGGGGATACTGCAACAAAGGTGGGGTCCCACAGGGTCACCAGGGAGTGCAGGACCCCTGGGGTCATGGGTGACTCTGATGTGTCCCCCTCTGTTTCTTGCAGTGGCCGCAGGGGTCAGTGGGGCCCTTTTGTTCCTGCTCCTGCTCGTGGGTGTCATTGTGGCCTGGCAGTGGTGGCACCGTGTGGGTGGGTGACAATGGGGGCACAGGCGTCCCAGGGAGCTGTAGAGGCCCCCAGTGTTGGACATTAATTGGGCAGCACCCACAGCCCCAAAATTGGGGCATTGTCTGGGGGTCCTTTAGGGTTTGGGGAGGTGCTGGAGGGTCTTGCAGGGATGCTGGGGGTTCTCTCAGAGGCCCTTGGGGCAGTTAGGAGGTCTCTGTCCTGCTGGGCTTTGAGTTCTTGAGGCTGAGTTGGCTGGGGACACTGGGGAGGTTCCTGAATTCTGGGAGGCTTCAGGGATGCTTGAGGGTTCTGTTGTAAATTGAGCGTCCCGTGGGGGGTCAGGAATCCTGGGAGGGTTCAGGGCCCTGCGATCCCACAGTCACATCTCCCGTCTTTCCTCTGCAGCTGCCAGGAAGCACCAGGTAAGGTTGGTGAAGGGCTCCCGACATGAGTCCCCTTTTACCCCCACCTCACAGCTCTCCGTTCCCTCCCCCACATCCCCTTTGTTCCCTCAGGGCCCCCCGGATCCCCCGGCCCCCCCAGAGGAGGGGGAGGTGCTGTACACCCACGTCGTGGTCACCAAGAGGGCAGGGGGTGAGTACGGGGGGGACACACACAGAGGGACACGTCACCCACCAGTGTCACCCCACCCAGATCCCACAGCCCGTGTCTCTCGCAGCGTCCCCCCGTGCCACCACCCTCCAGGATCCCCAGGTGACCAACGCGGAGCTGCAGGGACCCCAGGGGCGACCGCGGGAACCCGGTGACATCTACGGGAATGTGCTGTGACACTGGGGGGAACTGGGGGCACTGGGGGTCCCCACCCATGGGCACCCACTCATGTCTGTGCTGCCACTAAAAACTGCCCCACTTGCTCCCTGTGGGGGCACAAAGATCCCAAAAGAGCTAAAAGATGAACAATTTGCTGAAACAGCAACGAGAGAGAATAAAACAAACAGCAACAAGGTTCAGAGTCCAAAGGATCACAGAAGGAGCAATTTCCAGGGAAAGCCCCCAATAAGGAACAAACCCCAGACATTTCCCACAGCACGTTTCCTCCACCACAGGAATCTTGCAGAGCCCTGGACCATCCTTGCTCTGATGGCCAAAGTGGCGTTCAGGAGGCTCTGGATTCTCTTGTACCCTGTCCCCAATCCTCCTCTGCCCTGTTCCCTCCACGAGGATGTCAGAAAGGCCCTGTGGGGGTTCCAGAGTCTCCCTCTTTTCCAGGGCAGTCGGGATAAGGCCATGGCACAGGGTGGGCGTCAGAGACAGGAAAAGTTTGATGTCTGGAGGTATTTTGGAACAGCTCCATGTGGCAGGGGTGGGTCAGGCCTTGCTTTTGGTGAGACAGGGCCCCGTCTGTCCATCAGTCTGTCAGCCTTGGCACATTGGGGACAGTGTGACACTCTGCCAAAGCCAGCTCCTGAGTAGCCAGGTGAAAGGAAGTGCCAGCTATGGAGAGGGCCTTTGCTGGCCCAACTGGCTTAAAAGGCAGAGCATGAGGTGGCCAAGTCCCTGACCGTTTCTGCTCTTGGGTTGTCTTTCCCATCCAGGCTGGAATCCTGGCTGGAGTTGGCAACTCGTTTAAATGAGAAATATCTGCCAAGGTAAATGGGAGCGTTCCTGGAATGGAAGGAAGACCCATGTCTAAAAAGCTTTTTAATTTCAAAACTGATGGGGCTTCCAGGCAAAAGTGTAGGAAAAGGAATACCAGCTCTTTACTGGGAAATTTATAAAGCAGAATAGAACCAACAACACAAACGCAGAACTTTCCCTCCCGCTCAGCGCTGTTGGTTTCTGTGGCAGTTATAACCGCGGCCAGCAGGGAGCGCTGCAGGGAGCACTCCCGGCCAGCAGGGGGCGCCCCGCTCCAGCTCCATCCCCTCAGGGGCCATGGCGGCCTCAGGCGGGACGCAGGAGGGGAAATCGCTCCTTTTGCAAACTTGCAGATTGTTGCTGTCTTTGCAGTAGTTCTTGGGTCTCTCATTCCCTTACCAAGAGGAACACATGATCACCTAATGGACTGGTTGCCTAAGAACGGCCCCTGCAGGGGGCATTTCCAGCTAGCCCCACTCTGAAAAACCATCAAAAGCCCTCTCATGTTGTCATCTTATTGCAAAGGTTTCCATACCTTCTTGGTGATTTCTTATGGGCACCTCCTAGCAGCACTGAATCTTTCATCTTCACAACACAGCTAAAAAACACCAACTCTCTTTACCCAGCTAACTCACTCTTTTGTAGCACTCGTCTTCTCATTAGACAGAGCTGTGGCCTGTTAAGGGCAGGCTTGTTCTTAATCTTTGGTGATTAGTACAGCTGCAACTCTTCAGGTGTGAGGCTACTTTCTGCAGTATCTTTATTTTCTTACATTCTATCCTTCCACACTCTCAGAGCCACTGCTTGGGCTCTCTTTGTGTTTTGTGCTTCTTGCAGGGCTGAGCAAACCACAGCCAGGCCTTTTTCCACCCACAGAATTCTCACCTCTGCAGCAGCTCTAAAGCTGCCAGAATCAAAGCCAAGGGGGCAGGGGGGACCCTCAGGTGCTGGCTGTCACCTGGGGCTGGGCAGAGCAGGGCTAGGCAATGGCCATCCCTGTGCAGTGGGGCTGGGCCATGGCTGGGCCTCACCCTTGGATGGCCACTGGCTTCAAGGAGCAGGAGTTATGGAGCTCCTTCCTGTCCTGGGCTCCTTTCCCCAGCTGCTCTTGCTGGCTCAGATCCTGCAGGGGAGGATCAAGAATGGAGAAATCTGGAGTCCCCCAGAGCTGCCATGCCCCAGGACAGGACACCCATGTCCAGCCCATGTCCCCCCTGGGACAGGATCCCCCCCAGCACAGGACAGGAGCCCCCTGGATGTGCCCCCCAGGAGAGAACCCACCCCCGTGTGAAAAAGGTGTCAAACGGCCTCTTCCTTCTGCAGGAGAGAGAAAGTAAATGTGGTTTGGGGGTGGGGGGTAAAAGCTGGACCTCCCCATCCCCCACAGCCTCCCCAGCCCTCCCTGCAGACCCCTCACCCCTGCTTCCCCCACCCTGGGCTTTCCCAGCCCATTCCCTGCTCAGGTGTCCCCTAGGATCATCAAGGCATGAACTGAGGTCTTGTGAAATTGAGGGATAAAATGATGGAAATGGAAATAAAGAGAGGAAAAGTCACTGGGAGCTGTGGGGGCACAGACCCAGAGCCCCTCAAAATCTTTCTGGGGTGATCCCCAGGCTGCTGGCACCTTGTGGGGCCTGTGCTGGCTCTGGGTCACCCCAAAATCTGAAGCACCCAGGGAAGGAGCTGCAACCCATGGGCTCACCCAGCCACTGCCCATCCCTGGCACCCTCATTCCCCTTGAAATCAAACATGGGAGCACCATTCCTTATGTCCCACCTTGCCTGGGACCCCCATCCCAGTAATGCCATTCCCCAGGATCTCCATGGCCCAGGACCCCATTCCCAAGGAACCCTCTCCAGTTCATTCCATCCCCTGAAACCCTCCTTCCCCCAGGACCTTGATTCTCCCAGGACCCCATTCCCACAGGGACCCCCATTCCCCCAGCGTCCCCATCCCATAGCCCCAAATCCCTGGAGCCCACTTTCCCCTGGGACTCCCATCCCTAAATCCCCTCCCATCCCTGGGACCCCCCCATTCCCTTGGACACCCATACCTGGCTCCCCAAACCCACCAAATCCCCCACTCGTGGGAACCCCATGTCCCGCTGTGTCCCACCCAGCCTTGTCCCCATCCTGTTCCCAACCTTCCCACAGCCTGTCCCCACAGCCACATCCCCATGATCCTGTGCTTGTGGCCACCCTGTCCCCACCAGGAGCCACCAACACATGAGGAAAAGACCTGACGTTGCTTCATTCCCCTTCATCCAAAGAGCCATCACCCAGGGGACAGCCACCCCCGGCAGTGAGTGACAGCCAGTGCACATGGCTGGGGACACCAGGATGGCCGGGAAGGTGGCGCTGCTCCTGTGGGGGGAGTGCCCCGGGCATGGGCCTGACACCCCAGGGATAGGGAGGGGAGGGGGCACAGGGGGGCTGTGGGGTCCCTAGAGGTCCCTAAGGCCATCAGAACCAGTGCATGAGGTGACTGGGGTCGTGGGGTGGCTTTGGGGACAGGGGAAGGGAGACAGGAATGTGGGGACAATAACAGGGGGTCAGGGATTCGGGGAGGCAACATGGGGCAGGTGGGGGTGACCTGTGCCAGCACGGGGTGGCTGTGACATCCCCAGTTCAGGGGTGTCCACAGTGTCCCCATGTCCTTCCTGAGCAAGGGGTGCCCGCAGTGTCCCTGTCCCCGAGGTATCCATGTCACACAAGGACACTTTGGGCACATGCCCCACACCCCATGCCCCTGTGCCTCTGTCCCCATGGTGGCACCCTCACCCAGCCCTGTCCCTTCTCCCTTCCAGCCCAGACCCTCGGCCTCGCTGGTGAGTCCTCAGGGGATGCCATGGCCCCACCCCACTGTCCCCAGCCCCACACTGGCCCTGGCAGGCTGGTGTCCCCTGTCACCCACAGGTGCCCAGACCACCCAGCTCCTCGTGGTGCCCCCCTGGAGGCCGGCGGTGCTGTGGGACCAGGTGACACTGACCTGCCAGGGCTCGGGGACTGCTGGTGCCACCACCTGGTACAAGGACGGGCAGCGCTGGTGACAGCAGGGACGTGGCCGCCTCATTGTCACTGAAGGTGGCACCTACACGTGTGACAGACCTGGCACCGGGCACAGCCCTATGGTGACAGTCTCACATGATGAGGGGGGTTTGGATGTCCCCAGCCTGGCTCCTATGGGGACCCCAAGGGCTCTGGTTGGGCTCCGCTCCATGGGTCACCTCCTGGTGTGACCAGAGCCCGTCCCCTCCTATGGGGACAACCCAGACCATCCCTGTGCAAGGAGACTTCTCTCTCACAATGGGCGGCTCCTGGTGCCTCCTGGTGCCATCATGACCCTCCTGATGGCCCTGGTGTGACAGGACCCCTCTGTCCCCCAGACTGGCTGGTGCTGCAGGTGCCAGCACGGGTGCTGCTGGAGGGGGACACGGTGACACTGCGCTGCCGGAGCTGGCAGAACAAACCACTCACGGATGTGTACTTCTACCACGATGGGAAGAAACTGGAGGGGCTCCATGATGGGACTGAGCTCTCCCTGTCCCCCCTGCGGCTGCACCACAGTGGCCGCTACCTCTGCGGGGGCCGGGTGGTGTCACACTGGAGAGAGTCAGAGCAGGTGACAGTGACAGTGCACAGTGAGTGCAAGGATGGGGACAGGGAAGCCCGACATCCTCTGAGGGTTTCCCCAGCACTGCCTGAATCCTTCATCCCTCCCTTTACTCCTCCCTGGGTCACCCCAAATTTCCCAAGTCCCTCTTGGTTTCCCCCATGACTGCCCAGTTCCCCCTTCAGATCCCTCATCCCTCTCTTTGTCCTCCCCAGCACTCCCTGGATTCCCCACCCCTTCCAAGGTCCCTGCTCCACCCTCTGGTCTCTGTGCCTTCCCTGGGTCCTCCCACCCATCTCTAAACCCCAAATCATTCCCTGAGGCTCCTCAGTCTCTCGTCTGGCTCCCCATCCCTGCCTGGGTCTCTCCCCCTTTCCATGGGGTCTTGCCATTGTCCCCAGGTCCCAACGTGCCTCCCAGGGTCCCCTGCTGCTCACTGGGATCCTCTCTGCTCCCCTCCAATCCCCCTCTTTCCCCTCCCGTGTTTCCTACCTCCCCTGGGTCCCCAATGCCTCCTGTGTCCCCCCATAGTGGTTCTGCTCTTGGGGGTGTCCCTGTCAGCACAGCCCCCCCCGTCCTTCTCCTGGCACAAGCAGGGCTCATGGGCACCTCTGGGCTCCTGCCCCCTGCCTGGAGCTGCACCATATTC